ATTCGTTAAGACAACAGGTATGTATTGTAGCCTGAGAAGCTGGCAAATTTTGATTGAATTCATCTCATCTCTTGTATCAAAAGTCCTCGGAATACAAATTAGGATCCTCCTTGATCCTAAGGACTTGAAGGGTCAACCTCGTGGATTAGTGGGTAGGGCTAGAAGAATTCATCAAATCTTCTAGGTTTGATATCCACCACAGAAAGTATGATTGGTTTGTAGTTACATCGGTTTTTGTTTGGAAATATATTATTAGCAATATGTTTCTAATAGCATTGGGCAGTGCTGCAATATCTTGCTATAGTAACTTCAATAGAAAACGTCTCATAGAAATTTAATGTATAAAAAAAATTGACAAAATTCCTGGAAAACACAATTATTTCTATCACCCGTATATGACTGACATGATCCTATAAAACTTTCCTTTTCCTAAAATTCGCTGATGTCGATATGGCTCATGTGCAACTTCTTGGCGTCAGATACATAAAACATGAAGATTAACGTGTTAAAGAATCACTTTTAATTTAAAGAATTCGAACTTCTTTAGAGTTTATTTCCAGGTCCATTCAAAGATCAGATCATATATTGGCACTCTTCATATTGTATTCTGATACCTTATATTGATGATTATCATTATTAATATTAAAGATGAAGCAAGTTTGTATATAAGTATAAAAATATTACAAAAACATGTAAATAACGTTTAATTATTGAACACACTTTAGTCAAAAAGTAAATTCCAGCTTAGACAATTCCGCCTTAGAGGCACTAGAAAGTATTATTACTAAAATTATTGAAAGCAATGACAATAGCAATATTAATAAGGAAGTCCAATTTTTTTTTCAAAATCAATGGAATGATTATTCTAATTCTTTGGCTATTGGCGTGATGATTCATTATCACAAGATTCATAAAAAAAACTTGCTAAAACATGTTTTATAAAATTTATGGGGATCACTTGTGGGTAAGTCGCTAGAGCGACTGCACCTGAATCAGTGATCCTGGGTTCGATCCCGCTGCGAGGAGCCATGTCAAACAGTAGTGACATCTGCTTTCACTTGGAAATATAGATTTCAAAATGTTTCCAAGTAAAATATCTATCTCTATTAAACAGTTTTTAATAATAAAATTCATCACACAAAGATGAGGCAACTGTATGGGACGCCAATTGCAAAACCGACGTAGTTTCAAGTCAAATTAGCCCCACAACTTATAGGACTCTTATGTCCTGATTGCTGTTCAAAAAACAATAAATAAAATTACAACCAATTTATATTATTATTTTTTCGATGTTTGGAATTTCACTATTTAAATATTAAACCAATAATTATCAGTATTTGATTGCTGTCAGGCGCTAATAAAACAACATACACATCGACCATATCGCTTGCAGTTATTTGCAAAGTAAATAACAATATTTCAAATTCGAAATAGAATTTATTATTTACATCAATACATATTTAAATAATCTAAATTATAAATAATCTTTTTGGAATGATGCACATAATCATACTTACCTTATCGATATGTGTTATGGAATTAATGATAAATAAGGTATGATAAATAAGTAATATGGTAATAAATAGCAAATTTATTTCTTATCATCTTGATTACTGCTTTGTTTATTTCCGATCCTGAAATAAAAAATAACTATACTATGATAGTAATAATAGAACAATAAATAAATGAAAGTAATTTCATTTGTGATCACTTTCTTTTTGATCAAATGTTTTTTTTTCAGAAGTACTCTTGAATTCAGATTCCACAATACATCGCGTTTGATATTATTATCATATATATTTATTTATCAAATATTATAATAACTTATTATATGCATGATTTTTCTCTCGCAAATTTTAAGCTTTACTATCAATTCTATTTGATTATCAATTACATTGATCGACCAACTTACTTGTAAGGGACTCGGGATCCTTTATACTCGAAGACAGGTAAATCTTCACCATTTTTCACTTTATCAGCTACTTTCCGCGCATCTTCAGATCTGAACTTTGAGAAGAACCACCTATATAAGTTGTCTTCCTTGGCTCGGGCAGAGGTTGGTGCAGGTGGTGCATATCTGCTGCTTCGGGACAAATGAAGAGGTCCATGAGCAGGCAGCGGAGGCGGAGGAGGAAGCAGAAGAGGTGCAGCTGGGTGAAGAAGCTTCAAGTCGAATTTTGGTTTCGGTATGTACCTGGAAAAAGTTGTACCAAAATTGTCAAGAGTTAGGACATTTTTATTTTTTATTTTTTTCAATAGCAATCAGAATATGTACAGTATAATTCTATGAGCTATTTGACTTAAATCATTCACTCACACACACATATAAATTATTGTAAAAAAGGCCATGAATATTAGTAGCTTCTTCTTCAGTTTTTTTGAAATTGGAGTCCCAAGAAGCTGAGTGACTATAGAGTTTGAATAATGTTCTAGTTTATAAAAATGGTTGACAATGTTGATTTTTGTAACTTTGTTTATAAATTCAATATGAAGATCGTCGTGTGAGGTCTTACTTACGAACCATGGAGTTAGGGCATTTAAAATACATAATAGGAGTTGGTAACCAGAGTTGACCATCCTACAAACCGGAGCAATCTAAGATAGGGTGGAGGTTATGATAAGTTTTTTTTTCTGAATTATGTTTGCTAATTGAAATAAACAAAATATTTATATAAGTCGTTAAATATCAGCAAAAAAAATCTGCTCATTCTCTAAAGTTGTTCCACGTTTCACGAACAAAGTCACCAAGAGTTAACTATGGAGTTTCTATTTCATTTATATAATGTAAAAATCAAGTAAAATTAGTAAACAAATTAAAAACAAATAGTAAGAAGTATGAAACCTAATTGAAGATAATATAAAAACAATATAAAAAATATATTTTTCGAAACGGTTTAATGACGTTCAGATATATTTGGGATAATCTACTCTGGTTACCAACTCCTCATATATGTTTCATTCAAAAAATATAAAATTGCAATTTATGTCGAACGCCAGGAAATATTTTATGAAAAGCTGTGCTATGATTAGAATAAAAATGTAGAAAAATGACAAAAAAACAATTACGTCCATCCTATACCTTGTTAATCGTTAACAAAAATTAATAAAATGTGTAACATAAATAAAATATATTAAAATACTGCTTTATTAATATGAAAAGGTGAATTTGTTAAAAATTTAATATTTATTTTTATATTCTTCGAATTGTTTTATTCGAATATTTCTAATTTTTATTTAAGCCGTATCTAAAAAGTGCTCAACGTGAATCTTATAAGACCTCTGAAAACTCTAAATGAAATAAATATACGAAGTTTAAAAAATTCCTGAATAAAATGTATGCATTGTTTAAAAATTACTATAAAATATCAGATAAATTCATCACAAAATATTAGCTTTTTTCCTTCGCATTCAAAATATATATCAAATGATTGATATATAGTGATATATAGTTATGACACCAATAATAATAATAAAATCAATTTAATTATTAATTACAAGAAATATAAAAAATAGAGCAGTAATGAATTACTATTGAAAAAAGTTCTGTGTCACTATTATATGCCCATCAATATTTTCCATTGTATTAACAATAAATTACTGCAAATTCAATAAACACGTACGAGTCATAAGAAATATTATTTATTACCTGTGAGGTTCCAATGGTTTTAGTAAAATTGGAGCTGGTTTAACGCCACTAAGTTCAGGAAGTTTATATTTATTTCCGTTTGTTGGGTCATAAGCTTTGCCAAATATAATTCGATTGAGAGCATCGATTGTATCCATAGTGATTTTGGGCTTGCTAGTTAAAGGCAAACCAGGAAGTGCTATCTTCTTTGATAATTCATTGTTATGAAGCAAATCTTTGCTTGAGATTTTCGATGTTGGGTACCTGTCTTCTTCTAATGCTTCGTCATTTGCTTCATAATTATTATCCTCAGCAGACTTTTCTTGTTTTTGTTTTTCTCCAGTTTGATTTTCTGGAGCATAATCGTTGTCAGTATATTCTTCAGTAGTAGGCTGGTAAGTAACTACTTCCTGATCTTCAATATCATAATGAGGAAGTTCATCAGACGACAATTCTTGATTTTCAAATTCATCGTAATGGACAGTTGTAGTAGTTGGCGTTTGTTGAGATTTTTTATATTTATTGAATTTATCTTTTGATTTATAATTTAATCTGATTGGTTCAAGTTCTTCATGCAGCAATTTAGACAATTTTTGTTTTGGTTTAAGAAGATTCCATTTATGTAAATGCTGGATAACTGGTTGCTCTGTAATTTCTGAATGCAAAGTTGTAGGACCATAAAGACTATCTGCCGGGTCTAGTTTATCATGATTCCATTTATGTATATGCTGGGTGACTGGCTGCTCCGTAATTTCTGAATGCAAAGTTGTAGGACCATATAGACTATCCGCCGAGTCCAGTTCATCATGTTGACGATCATTTGCCATTGTTGTTATATGGATGTAATCTTCCGTATATGAATTTATATATTCTGAAGTATCTTTATTATATGTTTCTCTTTCATTACTCTTGTACACATCTGATATTTCGGGCTTGAACGTGTTTGGTTTTATATCTGCATGTACATGTTCAATTTCAGGGTCAATTTCGACTTCTGGTCCCAATGTGGTGAGATCTAAATGTGCTGCTGTGTGACCTAAATTAATATAACCATGGTTATTGAATAATGTGGTCATGAATTGGTGTTTTTCAGTATATGGATTTACGTATTCCGCGTCGTCTTGATCACTATTTTGATTTTCCAAGGATATTTCATATTTTGCATCATCTAACATTTTTGTTTTCGGAGAAGCATATTGAAGCTGATGTTGAGGTAATTCTGTAAAATATTTCAAACTATCCATATCATATATGGTTTCTGTAGAATCTACATTACTGTGATGATCATCATCAAAAACCGATTGCATTACAATTATTGGTGTTTCAGTGTAATATTCTGAATTTCCGTTGAAAGGCTCAGTGTTATGTTCATATCCTACCAAATAATTGCGTGTTGTGTGTCTTGCCACTTTATTAGGTACAATAGGTGCAAATCAGTATGTCCATTTTCATCAGTTGTATATTGAATTTCAGGCCCAAATACATCTACGTTTTCTAAAGTGTGTGGAATATGTTCTTCAGTCTGTAGTTCATCTCGAGATTCAAGTTGTTCAGTGTTCGATATTCCAATAGTAGTATCTGTAAAAATAACTGGCGGTTCATATTCAGTTGTTGAATCTACACCAGGATATACAATATCATGCAGCTCTTCGTCGATTGTTGTTTCATTTTCGTCAATAGCACTGTCCGTAATAGTTTCAATATCCTCATTTTGTAGATTCTTTGTATTTTCTATAATCATTTCTTTTGATTTTTCAGTTGTAGTATGCGCAGATTCAGTAGTCATTATTTCACCATGTTCCAAATTACTTAAACTTTCCTTTTCCTTATCCGTCTCTAAATCAGTCTCTGTAGTTTCAATTGGAGTTTCATCTAATTCGTCTTGATCTTTTGGCAAATTTTCTATTATCTCGTCTTGATTAATAACTGGAAAATTTATACCTGCGTTCATTTCCGATAAATCTTCTGAAGTTGTAAGAATTGTTGTTTGATGCACATCATCATTGACAGATTCAACAGAGTTTTCAGGATCGGTGTGTTGTTCAGGACCATCTTTCTTTTCTTCGTGATCAAAATTTTGAGAAGAATTTTCATCAGACTCGTGATCCTTGTCTTTTTCACGCATATCTTCTCCTACTAAACCTTCCGCTTTCGCCAAATTAAAATCACCTACAGATTCCGAGTTTTCTTCAGAAGAATTAATAATGGTATCAAGTTTTCTAACTGAAAGCTTTTTCTCTCCGCTTTCGCTAGAACTATCTTCTTCACTTGCAACGATAATTGTTTTTACTGAATCTTTGTTGCCTTTTCCAGATTCCTCACCAACTTCTGCTTTTTCGTTGTTACCATTAGAAATTTCTTCTTCGATTATTGTTTTTTCTTTTGAATCAACGTTCGAATCAAGTGCTTTTACAGACACTTCTTTCTCTCCACTTTGACCTGCATATTTTTTTTCTTCTGTTACTATAATTTTATCCATGGTATCCTTATCACCCTCATCTGATTTATCATGTAGTTCTATTGCTTCATTACTCTTATTAAAATTTTCTTCATCCTGTGCCTTTGCTTCGAAATCTTCTTTCCCGTTTGCAACATCCACATCTTCTTCAAAATTATCATTTATTATTTTCGGAGTAGTCTTAGAATCTACTATAACTTCATATTCATCTTCAGATATTTCATTTTCTGATTGAAACTCTGGTGCATCAGTGGTTGGTTGATACTTAGTAGTGACGGCGTCATCACTCTGACTTCTGATCGTTGTAGTTTTACTAAGTTGATATTCTAAAGCTTCTCTCACTGCCTGGACAAGAAGCAGGAAAGATCTTGTGAGTTGTTGCCTCAAGTGATGATCTTCTGGAAGTAAAGATTCCAGTTGCAGTAGTCTATTCCAATCAGACTCTAAGGATCCAAAAGGTAAATATTGCTTTGTGTTGGCTGGCAGATGAGCAGTAACTGGACGCAAATCTAGCCGTAGCTTTGATATTTCATTTCGGAGACATTCAGCAGAATTGAGGCCATTCTCGCAATCTAAATCAAATAATAGAGAAAACAATAAAAAATTATATTATGAGTACAAGTAACATAGCACAAGTTTTTTATATGCTTCATAATCTTAAATCAAATCTTAGCTTCTTATGTTAAGAAGTTGTTAAATTCGTATAAATTAATAATTAGTTCATCACTTAAAAATATATTTAATATATGGAATAATTGCGTGATGCGCCAAGTATTCAAGTTTTAATTTCATAATGTAATTTTTGTTAATGTGGTTTATAATTGAATGAATTTTATTCTATGTTGGAAAATACTACAAAACATATATGCATGTACACACAAGGTTTGTCCGTTCTAATAATTCTGGTACCAATTCGAACTTATTAACTTCCCGTAGGGTAAGTTATTATAATCGTTCATCGAAATTGAAAATTTTTGCATTTTTCGCATACCTCAAAAAAATTGATGTTTGTGTGTGTATGTATGTATGTATAGATACAATTTTTCGTCGACGTTTTCGGGCGCGCGGATCAACCGATTTGAATGGTTTAAAAAACATTCGATGCCTATTGATAGGGAGATCATTTTTGATCGCCAAATGGCATTTGTTTTACTTTTTTCATTAGATCTCCGATACCGCTAGAGCTGCCTTCATGAAAATTTGATCAATTCTTCATATTGTCAATACAAGTAAAATGTTTTTTGAATTATAGAAATCGGACGCTCCGTTCTCTTAAAAACTGAGTTACCATTTTGGCACATTTTGCCCCATATCTTCGGAACGGCTTGACCCGCCAAAAACTAATCAGCACGTCTCCATCATCAATACGAATCGAATGTTTTTTGAATTATTGAAATCGGTTGATCGGTGTTCGCGAAATCGTCGACGAAAACTTGTATCCGCACACACACACGCACACACACACACACACATACATCCATTTTTTCTAAGGTATGCCAAAATATACAGAAACCTTTAAACGTAAAGATATATAAAAATTTTCATTTTCGATTTTTTTGCGATTACTATAACTTGCCCGAACTATGTCAGTATTTTTGTTACGTATTACATATATCAAGGAAGCTTATCAAGGAGTAATAATAGCAGCTTAAAAACAACTTGAAAATATTCGTATAAAAAAGTGTACATTTTAATATTTTTTAACATAAGTATGAGAAAATTATAATAATATTACATATGAAGCATATCGTAATAGTCAGTTGAAAAAAATTAAACCAGTTGGTATTGGTATTTTGCATTGACGCAAGTTACAATAGCTTCCGGATATGTGTAAATTTAATCAATAAAAATAAATTAATTTATGAGTGATTAAAAGTATTCCGAGTGGATTTATTACACATAATTGAAAACGAACGAAAACGTTAACTCGAAGTATTATCTGAAAGCAAATTTTCAAAAATCAATAATTTTTATAATTGAAGGACTTTAATGGTTTCGTATGTTCATTAAGATCAAGTACTCTATCGGTATACCAAGTAAATCGTCTAGTTTTAATTTTAACAAACGTCCAAAAAACTACTCATTTTCTCAAACTTTGATGAATTTTTAAAATTAAACTACTTGTCGTAAGGCCGTAAAATTTTAGTAAATTTGACCGTGATATATATCGTCAAACAAAGTTCCATAAAAATCGACTTAATTTTTTTTTCAACAGGTAATTACAAGAACAGTTTTTGATTTTTTGAAATCAATTCGTTAGTATGAGCTTAAATGTGGACGAAAAGTTTAACACTTTATTCCAAATTACAAAGAAACGGCTCGACCGATCGTCGTACAAAACAGACAAACGATAATCTTCATCGACATATATCAAATGGCTTTTAAATTTTTGAAATCGGTTCAGGCGTTTTTTGAGAAAACGTCGATTTACGGCAAAAAAAATATGTTCACACACACGCACACACACAGATACTTTTTCCAAATTTAGTCTCATTCGATTCAGAATGGCTTGAAACGTCGAGAAAGCATAAAATTAGCGAATCGGATTTTTTGTTGAAAACAAACTTCTTCTTCGGAAAGTTAAAAAAGACAAAATCTACAATCTAGAAATTTTTCTGCATGTTAATTGATGACATGAAATTTTATAATTTCTGTCGTTTACGATCCTTTAATCCTTGAAAGATCTGTGCAACGGATGTTTGCAACGCTTTTTGAGTATCTTTCTGCAGCTTTCAACAGTAATTTGAAAATTTGAAGTAACTGCTAATATGTTTGCAAATTATCTAGGGGCAATGCCGATTAAGTATGTTTGCAAATTACTGTTCAAATGTGCAAAAAAATACTCAAAAAGCGTTGCAAAAATCCTTTGCACAGATAATTTAAGGATTGAAGGACCAGGAAACGACAGAAATTATATAATTTCAAAAAAATTCTAGATCTTAGATTTTGTATTTATTTAAAAAAAAAACATTTTTCTGCCGTTTGATCGCCAATTTTGTCTTAATAAAAAATATTTTAAAAAATATATGTTGCACCATCCAGACATTTTTTTTGTGGAACCGTTTTATTATCACTCATATACAGTAGATGATCTCAATAGCAAATAATGCATTTTTTTTTTTTAAAAAATCTGTTCTTTCAATTAATCAAAATTATGAATGCTAAATCTGTTTAATAGAAAGGCACTTGTTTGATAAATATGTATTAAAATTTATCAGTTATGATCAAAACAATAAATTTTTACCGATTTCTAACAACAATGGAATGATTTACCAAATTAAAAATTATAGTCTATTTTTCCCTTAAGTTGCCTGAATACTTTTTGAGTATCACACAATTTTTGTAGATAAAATTTTTAATAAAGAGCTTTTTCTCAAAATATTACACAAAAATTCTACAAGAGATTCCAGTGCAGAAAAAAAAGTTTTAGTTTTTTCAAATTTTCAAGGTGTATAGTCTATGACGTATTTACAAATTTTTCGCCGTTTTAGTTTTTTCAAATTTTCAAAGTGTTTTATAATAATTAGTGAATATTTTTAAAAACTGTATTAAGTACCTACTCGATCCAAAACAAATCCATATTATTGAAAATAAATAAAATATTTATTTATATAAGAAAATATAATAATGAACTAAAAAATAGTTTAATATATATTTTAAGTAGTGTATATTTTTTTTAATAAATATATTTTAAATAAAAGTTTATACTAATTTTCACAAGAAGTACACAGTTAAAATTATCTATTACAAACTTTACAAAAAATGACTTACCTATGCAAAAAACTCCTTTCGCATAGACTAGTAATAAAATAAACTTTACAAAAGCATTCATATTCCTCAACAATATTTCTTGTGTACTATAAATAATTATATTTTGAATTGACTGACAATATTTCCTTTACTAATCAAAGCCACTACATAATCAAAACTGAACTGATTGAAAAACACTCCCGAATCTAAATTAGCGATAGCACTGACTAAAAAATGTAATTGAATAATAATCCAAGTTATGATAGAAATGAATTATGATATCGGTCGCAGAAAAACAAGAACGGCCGCGGTTTTGCAATCGGCAGCATTTAACGCGAACGCATTTTTGCAGAGCAGGCTCTTTTTATTTAGAATATGACACACTTATGCCAGAACAAAACAACAGCTGCACACGTGAGCCACTGACCAATTTCTGGACTGAAATCTATATCAGAACAATAATAATAAATAAAATTAAATTGCAACGATTGAAGATCGATTGTATAAATACAGAATACTTGGTGCATTTTAGAGATCGATATGAGATAAGGAATACTATTGGAGCAGATTTTTTTTTCAAATAATTTTTGTTTTGTTTTATAACTATACATACAGTACATTCAACTACTGAAACAGGTAAATTTGATTTGACAGCGTGTGAAGGATCGCTATCCTGCGATAGCACCATCCTAGATATTAGTGGTTTGATGTAGTAAATCTTTGCAGGTTTTTTCCTTAAGTCGCTTTCGTGGTAAAGGCTTGAGCAGGTCACATGTTAGTTCGTTTGGATATCGACTTAGCCGAGTTTTGTATCTGGAGCAGAAATGGTTATTTTTTTCTTGGAACATATTTTGGAGCGTTCACAATTTCTTTCAAAATTTTGTTCTGTAACCTCTGTAGAATAGTTATGTTTGACTTACTGGCCGCACCCTAAAGTTGTAGACCATAGAACCATATTGGTTCAATAATTGTCTTGTATATTAGAAGTTTATTTTCTAACGAGACTTGTGATTTCCAGCCCATTTACCAATTAAATTGCCTATGTGTTAGTTCGAGGTGTTGGCGCTTCTTAAATATATGTTCATGCCAGGTTAGTCTCCTATTCAAATGTATTCAATAGTATAACTGACTATTTCTCAAATTAAAACTCAAATGGATTCGATACTAAAATTTTAAAACGCGCGTAATTTTATTTTTTCCAAATTGTGCAAAAACAGTAAAAATTTTGTTCCAGAACACGAAACGAGGGTGCTACGATTTTTTTTCGTAGTTTTGCTTTGTTGAGCATCTACTATGAAAAATTAAATATTATATAAAAATAGATATTGTACAGTATTTCAATTTCTAATCTAGTCCATTTGTACATACTATAAAACAACAGATTAAAATTACAAGGTTATTGGAAAAACTTCTAATTTAAACTATATCAAAACTAAAATTAGTCAACCATTGTGTTACCTTCAAACAGCCATTAATAAAAATGTTCATGAAATCTAATAATTTTGCCTGCCCGTGGCTCAATGGTTAGAGAGAGAGGTTTCAATCAGAAGTTACGAGTTCAATATCCGCCTGAAGCAGTAGTCACATCGATTTCCATTAGGAAAAATTGAATGAAATATGTTTGCAAGTCTTCTTCGGCATTGCTGCATGTATTGAAGTTATCCAAATAAATCCATAAATTAGATATAGGGGCCAATCTTTGGGTTAATTTCTGAAAACCACATTAATAAGAATGTTACAACAAGGTCCAATTGCAGTCAATAATAATAAAAATACAACAATTAATCATCTAACCTGATTATTAAATCCATGTTCAAAACTACCAGGGCAAAGTTGAAAAAGAAACGTATGTAACATTAATACCTGTTAGTTTTCAAAATCTTTAACAATAGTCATAAATCGTTTTATTATTTTAAAAGCCATTTTATTATTTCTACAGTCTTACTTGCAGTCCCATTTAGGACATAACGTTACATGTATGTATTACATGTATGTTATGTTACTTGTAACGTTACATAAAATAAGAATGTTCAAAAACTAACTAAATTATTGAACAAAACTAAATTATTTGTTTAAACAATTGTTACACGAAAAAATAAACTCTGTTGCCTTTGACAAGCATTACCACGTTGAAGAACTGAATAAGATTGGTTCATATTTTTTAATTGATTATTCAAGTATAAAGTCAAAATAAAACAATAAAGAAAAGTGTAAAGTATGTTTTCAATATAAATTTTGAAAAATACTTCTGAATTTTATCACTTATGATCAGATTTTATAAAAATCGGTACAAAAGATATGGTACTTACAATTGTTTGCTGATTATATCTTGGTAGGCAAACATTATTACATTGCAGTAGTCGAAACAAATCCAAAAGTTTCCTTCTTTCTTCGATAATTCGTTTCCACTGTTTACTAGATCACTACATCGTTGATTTTAATTTATTATGATTTATAGGGATGAATATTTATCATTCAATAATTAGGCCATTTGTGAAGTTCCTCCTACGCCATTCCAGATTTAGATGTTCAACAAAATATTGCGGACTGATCACTAATCCTTTTTTTTTCAGAGGACTTTGCACAGAATTTGCGCATTTAAATACAACATTCAGAGGAAAACGCAAAACGTACATACTAAAATTACTTTAGATACTCACTAATTAGAATTTCACAAAGAAATAAAGAAAAGATGCGACTTGATATTTCGTCCATGAAAGCATTAGTGACCATTGTCAAATCGATGGAAACAAAACTGCTATAAACAAGAGCAAAAAATTATTCCTGAAATTATACAGTAATATTAAGAGAATGCTCAATGGTGAGTATATATTTTAGTTAATTTATTTTAAATAATTTAATTGTTTCACTGAATTAGATTTTGAACAGTTGGAAAATTTTAGGCATTTATAGCACGATATGAACTTAGATCATTGAGATTGAAAATCAATATTGAAAGAAGCAGACACAAGACTGCCGAAGAGATTCCGGAAGTATCTGTTGTCAAACAAGGTCAGGTTTTATGTGTGAAACGCCTGATTATACAGAAAATACATAGCTTTTTAAAAGTTTTTACAACCAATTCATACGAAGATAGCACCGTTACATAGCCTTGCCATAACTTTCCTATTTTATCGGAGATTTCGCCCCTAACACTATTCTGCAATGATGCAACAAGCTTCAATGAAGAAAAAACTATTGATGAAGTCAATCATTGGGTTAATTATTCACAAAGGTAAGGAATTAAATACCAACTTCATCTACGCCTGAAAGAATAATCATTTTATAAGTATAGTTACTTATACAGATACTGCTCATACTGCTTCATTAATTTACATATAGATTTACTGAAATAAAAACGTGAAAGTATATTATTATTCTTAAAAAGAGTATTTGAGGGTTTTAGATTTTATTTTAGTCGAATTTTTATAAAAGTTAAAAGTGAATAATTCATTATCAATGGTGATCAATGCATTATTAAAATTTTAAAAGATGCGAAAATAGATAAACATTAAAATTTATAGTGGTAACTAGTTATTGAGTCTAATTAAATTAATCTTATTAAATAATTAGCATAAATAAAATAATATATAATAAACATAATACAAAAACTTATAAACTTACCGTTTACAATAAAATACTTTATAAATAGAATTGCAAAATACTTCATATTATTGCAAAATTGCACAGAATTGCGATTCAATTTTTGATAAAATCAGTCTTTGCAAACATCAATCAAATAAAATTTAATTGAATAATGACAATTTTAATATATCTATATAATACTCAATATAAAAAAATTAAAATTACTTATACCTAATTTCGTACATTGAACTGGGACGGAAGAATTTTTTGAACACCTCGTGAAGATCATTTTACTCTTTCTTCTATTCAATCATCATAAATAAGGAGCAAGAAAATATCATTCCCAAAATCTGAAAATAGAAAAATAAATAGTTTTAAGACTCTTAAATTATTAGTTTTAAGATTTTTAGAAGCTTTCAAAGAAGTTAAAAGTACCTAACACTTAGTATTTCGTACTTCGCTCTCAAATTTTAAAATTTACACTATACTTTAATACACATTTTAATCATGTCATTAAATATAATATGTACAAATTATAATAAAAATATTTTAAATAAATAAATTCTTCAATTTAATATATCTGGGTGTAATCAAAATATGTTCCATGTTCTTTTGATGTTACTAGAAGTAAATGTGCATTTGTAAAAAATAATATTAAAAATTACTAGCAAATATTTTAGATATACAATTTACATTTTAAATGGCTTACTCATTTTCTTAAAAATTGACAAAAAGATGGGCAAAATTAGTGGGCATCGTGCCTTACAGGAAAATTGCTAAAACTTCCCGTATATAAATTAAAATACATAATTAAAAATATTGGTACGGAGCCCAAAAAAAATTACACAAAATATGTATGCATTATTGAAATCTCTATAAAATATCTGATAATTTGATGTACATATGTCCTTTTAACATTTTGACCGCCAAATAACATTTTTTTAACTTATTATTATTGAGAGTCCCAAAAATTTAATCAGTTCTTCATCTTGTCAGTACAAGTAAAATGTTTTGTGAATTATTCAAATCGGACGCTCCGTTCTCTTAAAAACGGAGTTACTGTTTTTGCCACTTATTGCCCCGTATCGTCGGAACGGCTAGACCTGTCTTCGCCAAAAACTAATCAGCACATCTCCTTATCAATACAAATCGAATGTTTTTTGAGTTATTGAAATCGGTTGGTCCGTGTTCCCGAAATAGTCGATGTATTTGTATCCGCACACACACGCACATACATCCATTTTTTGTAAGTTATGCCAAAATGTTCAAAAACCTTTGAAACGTAAAGATATATAAAAATTTTCATTATTGATATTTTTGCGATCACTATAAATTACCCTACGGGAAGTGTATATCAGTGTTTTCCACAAAAATTACTATTTTCAAATTGATATGTATCACAGATCTAAACCTTTAATAATAGAGAACGACATTACTTTTTAAATATACTTAATATGCGTTTTCCTGTAAATATTTATTGCATATTGCGCAGCTCAATATAAAATTGATCTTATTAGACAAAACGCTAAACAAATTAGTAGTTTAAATTATAGAAAATGATATTTAATCATTTCATCGTCAACTACTACCAGCAGGTTGTCTGGTATGAAATAGTGGCATAATACTCTGTAATATGCTACATATGATTATAAACAAAATATTTATGAAATGATTTTGCAAAAAACAGCTATCGGCGTTATTTTTTGATAAATCATAAAACAGAATCACCTTGAACTAAATCAAATAAGTAGGTACCCGTATGTTCCATATATCATTTGATAATAGTTTACATTGACTCAACATCTGTCTCTTCATATAAATTATTTGTAAGTGGCATTTTGCTCTACGACTTTTTATAGGTCAATAATATTTTAGGATGTTCATTCGACTAATTAGCCTAACTGATATCTTTCGAACAGTTTTTGAAGTAACAAAATCAGTCCAGGAATTTTGGCAAAAAAATTTACTTTTTGATGTATTCACATATATAGATATGTAAATCAGAATAAATATTATCCTTTTAGACTATATACTAAGCTTTGAAGAGTTTATCTCTAAAGAAATACCTCGATTGATTTCTTTGTTTATAGAAAATGTCGACGA